TTTTCTTAACGCTTATCGTTAAGAGAAAATATAATAAAGCTGACGAACGACGACATTGTCACCTTTCCTCCTTACTCTCTTCTGCTTTTACTTTTCTTAACGCTTATCGTTAAGAGAAAATATAATAAAGCTGACGAACGACGACATTGTCACCTTTCCTCCTTACTCTCTTCTGCTTTTACTTTTCTTAACGCTTATCGTCTCGACTGATAGTAAACTCGATTGTAACGCAGCTCTCCGTGTCAATTGTTCTCGAATCCTTTGTGCTTTATTGATCGGATGCATTATAAACCTTCTAGATTTTAAAGAATATTTTTATTTATTATTTTATATTTATATTTGTTATTATATATTTTATATATTTATTTATATATTATTTATTATATATTTTATATTATTATTATTTATTATTATATATATATTTATTATTTTCTACAAATTTTCATCTACGTGGCGTCCCAAAATTATGTTACTTCTGGAATATGAGGGGTTCCTGAGGTTATTTGAAGTTACTTTTTGTTTGTAATTGATCGAAGCGTTAATTTATGAGCGAGTTGGAGTCGGCGGAGAGTTGAAAACTTGCTTTATCGACAGGTAACGAAATGGAACATGTCTTATTTGTCTTTGTAAATGCACGTATCGCTTCTGTAAAGTAACGATATAATGTCATTATTGATTTCTACTTTTTTTTTTTAGATTGGCAAACAGATGAGACTTGTTATTAGGGGATCTGATATTATGCAAAGCGTAACATTGTTTACGGAGAACAATAGAACTGAGAAGCTCGCAAGACATCGCAGCCATTTTTAGATATGCGGTTGCAGTAATGATTAGGTTAATAGGCAGCATATTATGTACTATAAGGAAAAATTCATTCTAACAGATACCGAAGAAGTTACGAACCAATACTGAAATTGAAGGATATGTCACGACTTTCATCTGTTATCTAACTAATTCCTCAATTATTATATTACTTTGAAACCACATGTTCAGTTTCTAAACAATCAGGAGCATGCTGATCTTTACGGAAAAGAAACATGATTATCGAAATTGAAATATTTTTCTATTATTTCAATTCTTCCAATTGTTTATACAGATTATATGTATCAGACAATAATAAATCGAACTACGTGACGATTTTAGTCTTATTTCGATGATACCGCGAACGATAAACCTAAATGGTTTCCAATGTTCAACAAATTCCGAATCCCAGATCGCTCCGCTAAAGTTGTAAATTACCATACAAATTGTTCTACAGGTACAGGCAGTAATGATCGAATTACAAAAAGGTGCCCTCGATGATACGAAATGTGCTCGATTAATTTGTCCAATGGGTTTTATGCAAAGAGGAACCGAACAATTGATTCTTTCAGCGGAAGATCCGTTCAGCTCGCATTTATATATTTAAAAAGAATTATGTATGAAAACGGTGAGACAGTTACACGCGGATAATTCTATAATCTGTTGATTTAAAAGTTCGCCAGCAGCCGCGTGATTAAACTTCCACAGCGCATGAATAACTTTATATCCATTCATATTTATATAATTTAGTCTGGAGCGTACATTGCAGTATAATATTATTAATGAAAAACCTCCGAGCCGTGTCCGAGTGACTTTCTGGAAATTAATTGTAGCTAGCAGGAAGGATTACTTTCACGTTTGGAGATTCGAATAGCTAATTCTGCAGCTTCGTCATCTTGGGTGCGCCCCAAACTTGCGATATGAATGCACGCTAAGTGACTTAGATGGTCGAACGATAAATCAGATTTAATTAACGCGCCGGGTGTCACCCCACGCCTTTAATTAAAATCAAAATTGCGAAGAGTGTCGCCGAGCGACCGGTAGCAAAATTTATTAATTAACCGGCGATAAAAGCGGCAACGAAATGTTCTGACGCGGCACCGACTGGAAAACCGGCGTTTCACTGTTAATTGAATAGGGGAACGATATCCGGCTCGGCTGCAGATCCGCAACTGTAAGCAACTTGAATTAAATAAAAGTATTTTCAGAGCGCGCGCGAGAATTAACGTGACCGATTTTCTCTCGCCTGTTTTTCGACAGTTTGTTTAAACCGTCAAAGGTAAGCGAGAAAATTCGTTCTCAAAGGATATTGTGCTCTAGGGTATAATGAAACGTCATTTTATCAGGTAATCCGCGGAAATTGTATACCAACCGGCAACGCAAGATGGCGGATCATCTCCGCCGCAATGCCCTATATTTATTTTCGTTATATCGTAAATTATTGATTAAGTTACGAAAGTTATTGACTTCAATCGGCGGCCCGCTTATCATTCAAAGTGTACTAAAACGACGAAAAAAACTCGTATAATAGATTTTAATAGTTCGTTGCAAAGTGGAGGCTTCAATTTTTAAATCCACAATGATTTCAGTTTCTACAAAAATGTTTCCAGGTCAGTGCAGATATTTATATTTGTGTAATTTTTGCGTATGAAGAATATGTTGCGTTCACCATTTCACTCGCGGCAACAAGGTAAACATTATTTTCTATAGAAACGAACGATTAAGAATGCGAAAGTAGTGACTTCGTGTTTTAAAATCAGCTAAGAAAGATTGCAGTACGATTTCTTTTCACGAAGTTACGGCAGTTCAAATGTACATGTCTCGATAGCCTACGCGTTTCATGAATCCTAAAAATCGATATAATTCCAATTTCTTTCCATAAATCCTGTAAAATCTCTGTCCACGTAAAGAGTCATGGCCCAATTACAATTGTACGAAGTCGAACCCCGCAACAACTATACGGAGTAATTATATCGAGTCGCAGGCGAGGGAGAAACTTCGGAATCGAGCACAGAGGAAACACCATCGAAGGAAGAAGTGGTAGAAAAAATAAAGGGTGGAAATGAAAGGGTGATTAAGGAGGAATAGTCCCCGGGAATTAGGGGTGAGGTATGAAAACAGGCTCGTTTCGGCCGCGTGATTGTCCGGCAATGTCCGGAGCAACAATTCTCGACTTAATGACTTGTCATGCGGCTGACGTCGAGGGCCCCGCAAATTACGGTATAAACGTCCCCTCGAAATGCTCGGGGCAAACATCCGCGGGGCACAGAAAAACTCCGGCGAAACTCCGCCTTTATGTCTCCGAGAGGAACTTCAGCAGAGGGACGTCGCGCCAGCCGAACGGATGTTCGTTCATCGCCGGATGTAGTGTGAATCCTCGAAGAAAGGTGAGATATTCGTTCGTGGAACCAGCAAAGTGCAATAATTTCTTTCTAATTGGCGGTGAGATTGCGCACAGGAGTGGACAATCTGGAAAGAGAAGATACGATTATTTGTTTTTATAGTCACCGATTGTCAATAACTATTGGGTTGGCAACTAAGTAATTGCCGATTTCAGTTATAGATGTCACTCACTCCCATTTTTATGATATCCGTAAATGTTATATTATAAAATTATTATTATTATTATTATTATGTTATTTTTTATTATCCGTGAATGTTAGCAACTGGACAAATTGAATGCAGCGGTCAAGGAAAAGCGACCAGAATTGGTCAATCGTAAAGGTGTCATTTTCCAGCAGGACAATGCCAGGCCGCACACGTCTTTGTCCACTCGGCAAAAATTGATGGATATTGGTTGGGAATCGATGTTACACCCACCATATAGCCCTGATCTCGCGCCATCGGATTACCACTTATTTCGATCCCTGGACAACTCCCTTCGTGGTAAAACTTTTAATGATGATGACGCTGTAAAATCTCACTTAACTCAGTTTTTGGCCGAAAAGGATCAGACTTTCTACGAGCGTGGAATTTTCAAGTTGTCAGAGAGATGGAAAAAGGTCATCGAACAAAATGGAAAATACATTACAGATTAAACTTCGTTCCAAGTAAAAAAGATTTTTTATTTCGTTGAACAAATCGGTAGTTACTTAGTTGCCAACCCAATATAAAAAGAAACGAGCCGCAAGGCTCAAATAATCGTATCAACTCTTCTCAAACTGTCCATTTTTGTGCGCAATCTGAGCGCGAATTAGGGAGAAATTACTGTGTCTGTTAGATTAAGTCTCTTAATCGTTCAATTGAACTCTTTGCGCTCGAAATCATTTTAACTGTAACTCCGAAATAATTTTCCTGTCTTATAGTATCTCCATTTGATATAACAAAGTGCATTTTATGCATATGAAATTGAGTCTTGCGACTTATACAACGGTTACACTTTTAACAATTTTTTAAACCTGAACTTACATAATATAAAACTTATCTTGGAACGTGATATAACAATTTTTTAGTGGTGCCTCAAAGTCGCCGCTCGAGTGCAAAGGGTTAATGTTGACACAAGCAATTATTCCAATGAATCACTTAATTTGTTTGCAATCAGGAACGTTCAAGCTCGTATAATAAATAAATATGGTCTAAAGCATATCGTGTTTGGTCTCATTTTAATTAAAAGAATCTGACTATAATATATTAAAAAAATTTTCATTCTCGAAGAATCGTGGTCCCTTCGAACTGTACAATTTGTTTCTCCAGTATTTCTAAGTATCGTTAATGATAATGGAGATATTGCTTAGTAACAGCTTTTCGGCGGATCACCCTGTATAAGATCCTTCGGAGAAGGGAAGCACAGTGTTGATATCGCGGTTATGCTGAAAACACAGTTGCAACGACCAGCCCGTGAACTTTGTGCAGGAAGAATTTCAGTAATTAGATTAATAGGGCGATAAGCTAATGGAGTTTAATGGCGGTGTCTCCTGATGAAGAGAAGAAAAAGGACGTTGATGGAGAAAAATGTGAAGTTAAATGGCCCTCCTCGCAGAGGATTAAACGCACGTTCGCGATCCGTTGCGGATGCTTTCGTTCTTCTTCATGATACCGTGCAAACTTCTTCCGTACAAAATTCTCTGTGTCCGGTGAAAGAAAATTTTTTTTGTTTTGAAGTAGACGCGAAAGTCTGATAATAGAGATAGCAACGATGTAATATTAAAATGTCCTTACAGCGTTACAATGTACATTTTTCTATTCTTTTTTTCAGCGCTTCCCCGAGGGTTTAAATATTCTATTCGTCGACTACGCCGACGCGAAGTTACCTGGAAGCCTACGAAGTTGCCGAAGCTAACGATACCATCCTTCCGTTTCGCGGCGTCATCGTACGGTCTCGCGGCTTCGTCGATAGCCGGTTGTTTCGAGATTCGCCGCGCGAAGCAGCAGGTCGTTTGTCTGTGTTTTCTATCGCGGAGTTCGCGGGAAAATGAGGGATAACGTTGTGCTCGAGCCTCGAGCCGGCTCTCCTTTTATAGCCCCCGAGGAGCGTCGAACCAGGTGATTTATGACAGTTTCGTGTTCCGAGGCGTCTCTACAGTCGCTATCGATTGGTTCGAGGTTTCGAGTCCTCTGCTTAGATTCCGATCTGACGGGCATTCATATCATTACAGCTCGCTTCCGGCGAGCCGTTGCTGAATACCCACGTTTTGTTTATTCGTTTCGCGACGACCGGGGCCGGAAGTCGGGGGACACCGCCATTTTGGTACCGGATCACTGTTGCGGAGGAGTATGTACGGAATTCAACGAGACACCGAGCTTGTTGCGAAGGTGTTATTTAAGATTCCGGATGAAGAATTAAAGGGAGTACAATATTTTGTGGTTTTAGAGTGAATAAACTAATATCAGCTTAACCGTGCTTATTTATTGAAATCATAAAAGAGAGGTCATGAAGAGAACACAATGATAATAACAATTTCGCGATCTCCAAAAGTTATAGAATAATATTTCCAGTCAAGAATACGATCAACCAAATACTAACATTACATAATAACATTAACGCGAACACTAAAGCTGCAAACGAAGCAACGAAGAGGAGCGTAACATCTTGGAATAACGTGGCAATGCTTCTTTGTCGTCGTCAACTAGAAACGAGCTACTAGAACCATAACGTGTGCAACAAGAAGATCGCTCCAAACGAACGATGTGAACAAACGTCTCTCGTACTGTTTCGCCGACGTCGTCGCCACGAGCATCGCGGGACCATGAAGACGTCATTGATGTATTCGATACTGTTTTGCATGGTGGTACAGATACGGTCCGCGTCGCCTCTGGGAATCGCCTCTCTGCACAACAGATTGCATTATTTCACGGCAGCCGCCGGTCCCTCGATCGACCAAGAGACCGAGAACCTGAAGAGGATCCTAAATTTCATCAACAAGTCTCCAGAGTTCCGCCCCTTAACGCTGTCAGTGGTGTTGCCGAGATTTCGTTCGAGCTTCGTCGATTTCCTGCTCGAATACGTCAACGAGAGCTCGATGGAGGCCTTCAAGGTCATGTTCCGGGATCTGTCATCGACAGAGACCCTGTCGAATCGAACGCAGCTCACGTGGATCATCTTCGCGAGAGATCTATACAACCTCTACGCGTACATCTATTGGCAGCCGGGACTTTGGAAGAGCAGCAATCAGTATCTGATATTCATTACGAGCAGAAAAGTCACGCTGGACTGGAGAGGCTTGCTGAAGACGTTGTGGCGGAAACACAGGGTCTACAGAATCATGATCGTGTCTTTGCGCGATAAATTTCGCTGTCTCGTTGGGTTTAGACCGTTCGAGATCAAAGATGGCGAATTTGGAGACGTTAGGAAGCTGTGTTTTCAATCTGCCCCGACGAAGGGCCCCGTCTTCAACGTGTCTTCGAATCACTCTGAAGAGAATCGTGTGACGACGTTGAAGCCTGTCGAAGCACGAGAGGAGATACTGAACGAAAACACTCGCTTGTTCGAGACCTTTCATAACTTGAACAACTATCCCTTGAACGTGCTAGTCTTCGAATCCTTGCTGTCGGGGATCGGCTACGACGATCAGCATCGGCTGAAACTGTTCAAGGTAGACGGATACGTAGTTTACGCCCTGGAGGACGCCCTGAAGTGTAAGTTCCGCATGAACTTCATGAGGAAATTCGCCTGCAAGATGAACGATCCTTTCGACAAGTCGCTGAAAGAGATCGAGAACGGAAACGCGGAGATGGTGATCACCGGGTTCTTCGTCAAGCAGTACCCCAGACACACGAAGTTCCAGTTCACGTCCTCCATGTACGAGGACAAGCTGTGCTTCCTGTCGCCGGATTCCGGCCTGGTGCCTAAAGCCTACATGCCGTTCATGCCCTTCGAGAAGGACCTGTGGGCCGTGCTGATGATATACAACGTTCTAGTCACTTTGCTGTGGCGTTTCTTGAAGGGTGTCAGCCCGGCACATCGTCGGGCAAAGGTGGCTGAGCAGGTTGGGATGAGTTCTCTCTGCGATGAATCTAGGAGACACCTGAACGAGATGGCGGATGGCTCGCCGATGGCTTCGAAGCCTAGAAGAGGACCACCGGAAATGCCGGAGCCGATGCTAAAGTTCTTCCATTTCGTCGAACAACTCTGCTATCCTTTTCCGAGGGAAGAGACCCATGCGCAAAGATTCCTGCTCGCCGGCACGCTGTTCTTCGGACTCATAGTGAACGGCGTCTATCAAAGCGGTCTGGTCTCCAGTTTGAGCAAGCCCTTCCACTATCCTCAGCTGCGCACGCTGGAGGACGTGATAGGCTCCGAAAAAATGCTGATCACCAAATACGCGAATCTGAAGACAGCCTTTTTGGACGACACGCCGGTCGGCACGAAGCTCCAACAGATGATCCACGTGATCTGCACGCGGAGGGAGACGAAAGCTCTGGTCGCGTACGATAATAAAATCGCCATTACCAGGTATTACAGCATGCTGCTCGGCGATTACGCGTACTACGACAAGGATGGCAACCCGTTGATCTACGTGGTCGACGAGTTTCCCATGAACTATCGGGTGTCCTATGTCCTGCGGTCACCATCGCCTTATGCAGAACGGGTGAACTTCGTCTTGCTGAGGCTGAACGAGGCCGGGCTCCCCGACTTCTGGATCAAGAAGACGTTGCTCAAGCTGACGATCGCGAAGATGAGGCGGAAGCTGAAGAACGAGAAGATGAAGATCATACTCACTCTGAGCCATTACTCGCTCACGTTTTTGCTGCTGCTTGCTGGCTTGATCGGCTCCGGTGTCATCTTCTTCGTGGAAGTCTATATGGCTGGACGAGCTAGATTTGGTTGACTAGTTATCGTAGCGAATTTAGGGGAGGTAACTGATCGTAGGCTGAAGACTTTTTGTTGTTTATGGTTGGGGGAAAGCTTGGCGAATTGGCTACTCGATCAAGAGATTAAACTTTTACAGGCCGGAGCTGTGTGTAGGAGTTAAAAACTTGATTATATAACAGAGAATTGTGAATGGATATGTGGGACAGGATATTGCTATTACTGAAAATTGCTTATGTTATTATTATAATCATATTACTAGTACTGTTACTAATAATGTTATTAATTATATTGGTAATTGTATTACTAGAGTATAATTGGTTATGTATGGTAATTGGTAATTCTATTATTAATATAATTAGTTATGTATAATAATTGGTAATTATATTACTAATATAATTGGTTATGTATAATAATTGGTAATTATAATATTGATAATGTTACCAATGTTATTAATGTTACTCATATTACTCATACTACTAATATTACTTATTACTAATATTACTAATATTACTTACATCACTAATGTTACTATTATTACTAATATTACTAATACTACTAATATTACTGATATCATGTTATAATATTATTATAATATCATGTTATAATATTATTATAATATTACTAATGTCACTAATAATACTAATGTCACTAATAATACTAATGTTGGAAACTCTAGCCATATTGATTTGATAAGATTGTACGTTATAGAGTGTATGAAAAATAAGTGAGTTGAACGTATGCTAGTGAAAACAAAGTATATTATAAGAATTAGATAAAAAATAAAAAGGAAATGAACAAAGTTAAACAGAAGACAAATACAGAATGTAGAATATGATGAAATGATACGAGAAAAGGAGATGAATATGAATGTCGTGAAGCGCGCAAGTGTGACGAAGGTGAAACTGCGAAGCGTATAGTAATAAACTAGATCGAGCGATCAGTGATGGTTACAGAGCTATAACTACGTGAAAGATAAACTTTACTGATCCTAAAATGTGCTAGTAAACGCTGAGATTAGAGATTACAGGAGATTACAGGATTACAACTGATGCGCTCGCGTTTTGTGGTCACGATTTATACCGTCGTGGACCATCGGATAGGACAGGGGCAAGAGTGGGAGTTTTGAATATTGGAAGCACTAGGCAGCACAGAACGTTCGTCATAGTGAACGAGGGCAATGTCCCGTACTGCACGGGAGGCGATGGAAAACGAGTAAGGGATTACGATATTAGGATTATTGGAAGGATAACCCAGGCACGACAAGTGCACCGTGATGGTATAAACATGCGGCTGTTCAATGTGCATTATTACAGGTCATTTACCCGGGCTGGCATCCAGTTCGATCAGCCGAGTTCGATGCCACCTACAAAATAGTGTCAGCGTTCTTATACGTTGGCCGAGTTGTACGTGCAAGGAATGGTTTAAAAAAAAAATTATTAGATTATAATTTTGAACAACTAATATTACTAATATCGCTCATA